AAAAAGAGGAGGATTGTCAGATGTTAGCTCAGGGCCGATCTTCCTCACAAAAAAAAATAAATTAAAAAAAATTAAACCCAGATTTTTTTTTCTTCCTGATACAATTTAGAATTCTTATGAAGAATGAGTTTGTTAAAATATGCTTGTCAAATGGTGAAACAGTATAGTATACGAACAGGTTACTTTTTTTTTATAGCCCGGTACCCTCTCAATAAGCAAAAATAGTTAATATAGCTCCCTCGACTCCCCACACCATTGTTTTGCCAAAGGGAATATTCAGAATACAGAATCCACCGTATATCTGCAGTAGCCAAGAGTTCTTTTTTCTGTAGTTTGTATCATGAAAACAATAGTCTTAATTTTTTTATTATTTTTTATATTTGAGATAGACTATTATAATATCAAGTATGCTTTTCCTAACTACACGTGCTTTTTCTGCCCCTCTTTTGTGTCAGAGTCACTAGTGTAGCAGAAAGAGCAAGGATTTATAGGTAGGCAGATCTGAGTTCAGATCTTAGCTCTGCCACTTGCTAGCTATGGACCCTGAACAAACTCCTTAACCTCTCTAGCCTTAGAGACAATGCTAGAATTCACCAGACCCTTCTCCTCAACCTCAATTTCCACATCAGTAAGATCAGGATAAGAACACTGGAGATTAAATGTGATAATATATGTAAATTGCCTAGCATAGTGCCTGGCATATAGTAAGTGCTCAAAAAATGGTTTCTTATTGATCAGACCTTTGATTCTTTTGGAAATTTAGACATTTGATTAATACTAACATTACAATTATTAATGCCATCTATAGAAGAAAATCTGTAGCTTTCAGATATAATATCTCAATGCTGTTACAGGTCTGTCTTTGTACTTAATCTCCCCTTTAGGGTAGACACAGTGATCAGACCTATACATTTATATGTACTTTCATAGATGGACAATGGAGTGTTTCTACAGATGAGTTCAAAGAGGTTAAGTTTTTCTAGAGAATTTCCATAGAGCTGAAACTCATGAAACATTACAGTCAGATCCAAAGTGGTTAACTAAAACCTTTCCTTAAAGCTCAAGAATTAGTTTCTCCATTTTTCAAGATAGAAATGCAAATAAAAAATACATTTTTGAAGATAGAAATGCAAATAAAAAATACATTTTAAAAATGTATTCTTATAATAATTCTGTAGGCTATTCACTATTGATTTCTGTATTACTCAGCATGTCTAACTGCTGTAACAAACACCCTCCAAATCTCAGAGTCTTATACAACAAATATTTATTTCTCCCTCATGTCACTGTCTAGTGCGTGTTGGTATGGAGGTGGCTTTGCTCCACAGAGTCATTTAGAGATCTAGGTTCCTTCCTTCTAGTAGCTCCTGCATCCCTTAGGGTGGAGTCCTCCAACAGATCCTCTCTATACAGCCGTGACCCAGAGACAACATGTAGAGAATTGGGGGGAGGGTGTGGGGGCTGGGCCTGGTATTGGTGTATTTCACTTCTGCCCACATTCCATGGGATAGAAATCAGTCTCATGGCCTCATTAAGCATAGGGAAGGCTGGGAAACATAGTCTACAATGTGCCCAGGGCAAAAAGGAAAGGGGTTTGGTGAACTATCTCTGTCACAGTTTCCACCTCGAGAACTGAATTGAGAGGGAGAAAGGGCTACATACTAGGGTGAGTGTCTAGAAACATTTGGAGAAAAAAATATATTTTGAGCTTCCTTGCCAGGGTTCATACAAGTCTGTTTCCTTAACAGCTGTTAAAGGATTAAAATACAGCTTTTTATGAGTTTTGCTGGCTAGCCTGGGTACCTAACCACTTATCTTTTTTTTTCTGTGAGAAAATGAAGAGAAAAAAAGGAAAGAAATTATATTTTGAGTTCCATATAATCTATATGAACCAATACAAATTAATACTATTAGTAATACAATTATAATTCTAGAAAACAACTTTTATCTTTTGATAATTTAATATTTTCCAGATTTCATTTAAATAACCCAGTTGTTTTGTTTTGTCTCCTTTTCGTGAAAACCACTGAACTGTTCATATGCATTAAGGGCTTTTCTGGTGATCCTGGGGTCCAGAGGCCCTTAGAAGTCAAATTAGATCTGAAATCTCAGGGTTTCCAATCTGCTTAGGAAGCTTCTAGGAGATGTTAATTCTCCTCTGGTACCCATCATCTGGCGTGATGGTTCACCAGCATGTACTAAATCTGGATTTTGGGATGCCCCTGTGAAGTATACTGTATTATTATGGAACTAAATATAATGAAGAAACTTCTATTGTTAAATTTGTGGTGTTAACTAATACTGGCTTTTTTATAGACTGTGGCTACAAGCTGTTTCAACTCATCAATGAGTAATATTCATGAAATGGAAATACAGCTGAAAGATGTAAGTTCATTTTCCTGTTATTAAGTTATGGCTAAAGAGGACCAATTCATTTATTCTTAAATTTCATAAAAATTGACAGCATTGATGCTGTGATTTGAAAAAATCTGTTGAGGAGGTGGAGAATTGAGTGATTTGAGATCATTTCTCTAGGTTATTAACTTTAAGTCTCTTTCCAGGCATTCAAGAAGGCCAGTTCCTTTGCATGGTCTCATTAGGCTAGAAAGCCCTAGAAATCACCCATCACTACCCAATACCTAAACAACATCCCTTCTCTACCTAACTGTAATTTGCCTAACTAATTTACTATTATAATTATAATTTAATTTATAGTTTCTTCTCTTTTAGTTTATCTGTGCAAGATGTATTCTTTAGTTTGAAATTCTTCTCTTGGAACCAGGATTTGCTTTCATAGTTTGAAAAGGAAGCACATTCTTTGTATACTCAATACTTCTTTTCTCTAGAGTATGATGTGAGGTTATTTCAGATATATGAGAAAGTTGTATTATTTCAAACTTACATCTTAAATAGATTGGTGAGTTTCTTTGGGAATTAAATAGATTGAGGACATAGGACCACTATTCACAGTGTATTTTTTCAAGTATTAAGATTAGATATACAAAGTATAAAATTCTTGATTTAATTATTAGGCCACTAGATACGTATTTCGATTCCAGAAATATTACTGGCATGTCTACCCTGATCTAAGTATGCTCTTAAGATTCCTGTTTTATTTCATCTAGCAAGTGTACCTTGAGGTCTATTTGATCTTCAAAAGAATAATTTAAGTCTGTTGAGTGTATAGCGGGGTATTACAGTACGCTTATCACAGTAATTTACCCAGAGGTAACTAAAATGAAGAAGAAACATAATTTTTAAAGAACTATCGAAATAAGTTTTTTGTGTTGTGTATTATCCCCAGCATCTAGAACATTTGAGAGAATGACTGAATCTTGGAATCTTGCAAAGCTTCTTGAATTTTACTAGTGTATCTTTTAGCAAAGAACCAGAAAATATATGCTGTTTTCTTAAACTGGTGTAATTTTTAGGCTTCTCAGCACTAACTGCTTCAAATAACAATTAAAGTTATTTTTAGATAATGACGGTTCTTTTTATGAAATTAACTTTGAAATGTTATGCCTTTATACGCAATCTTTTTGTTCTTTTTTATCTTCCCAGGTTATTTAGGGATCACATTGTACTTCTCTGCTCTGCTTACCTTAGAAAAGCTTTTCGACAAATGGAGTAAAATTTAACCCAGCTCACCTTCAAATGGTGGTCTAGACTGAGCAATGCCTCTCAGACTCTAATGAGCACATGAATCTAGGGGATCTCCATAAAATGCAGATTCTTATTTCCTTGGTCTCGAGTAGAGCCCGAGATTCTGCATTTTCAATCAGCTCCAGCTGCTGCTGCTGTTGCTGCTACTGCTGGTGGTCCGAGGACCACACTTTGAGAACCATTAACTTCTCGTTTGAGGAGCAAGAGGTGATTTAGCTCTGGTTGTCCCTTTGGAACCTCAGCAGATCTTTTCGACGAGGCAGAGAGTTGTAGTGGGAAGACTTAGGGAGCAGGGAAAGAGAAATCTCACTCCTCACACTCTACACGCTGTCACATTCTTGGGCTTTTGAGGGCTCAGCACTTCTAGTCCCATACCACTCCTCCAAGCTCCCACAAAACTTCCTGTAGAAGTTTGCCTACCTGTTTTAAGAGTCAGTATTTGTTATGCTAAAAGAGGCTCTAAAAACCTGTTTGCCTTTCTTCAGGCCTAGCTGTATCGTTCCTCAGTTACCGTTTAGGTCTGGCCAACATTTTGAAATAATTACAGGGAGTTAATACTGTAAAAAATACAGTAACTTTGAAACCAAATAGCTAAAAGGCAATAGTAAAAGGCATTTCTTGCTCTTAATTTTAAAAATCTAATTTTTAAACTTAGAATTTAGGGAAGATAAATAATAATTATTTTTAAATTTTTTATTTGGAAAAAAATTCCAATTTACAGAAAGGTTACAAGAATGAAAATATAGAAGCCCATGTACTCTTTACCGGGATTCAACCATTGTTAACATTTTGCCCCATTTTACGGACTCTCTTTCAGTCCCCACTCCCACCTACACACACACACACACACACACACACACACAATATTTTTTTCTGAATCATTTGAGTGAGTTGCATATATCCACAGCCCTTTAAGCCTAAATACTTTGATGTATATTTCTAAGAATGAAGATATTCTCTTACATGACTTCAGTACAGATAGCAACTTTAATAAATTTAACATGGACACAATACTTTCGTGTAATCTATCATCCATATTCCAGTTTTGTCAATAGACCCACATTTTTTATTCCTCCAGTGTAAGCTAACATTTTAATCTATGTTAGAATTTTTGCCCAAGGAATAGTTAATGGAACCCTGTCAAACCAGGAGGAATAGCTTTAGTAGCATTCCACGGGGCTTCACTTTTGCCCATTCTTGTTCTGTAGTTTTATTGATAACTTGGATGGAAATGTTAAATGCATGTCTAAAAAAAGAGATAGCTAAAGCAAGGAGGAGTCTGAAGATGCAAAAGTAATAATATCAGCATTCATTGATAGCTATCAAATCTATTTATTATTGAAACTATTAAGAGAAGAAAAAGCAGATGCGTAGAGGCAGTGAAATCAAGAGTAAAGAAATGTTACTACTTTATTGAAGTAACAGCGCCATCATGTGGCCCTTTAGAATAATGTCTCTCGAATCTTAAACCGACACAGTTTTGTTTCTCATATTTAAGTAATGTGTGGACAGATACATTTAAAAGAAGAAAATTTTCATGACCATTCAACATTACTTAAATTGTTTATATTAAAATATTTCTTAAATGTGGACAAATTTAAAATTCAGTATAAAATTAGGTGTCTTTAGCATCTAACACATGATTTATAAGTATTTAGGTATATGCGTGCTTTTTGAGTCATACAATGCTACCGCTCTTATCAACTAAATCTGAATATCTAATACAGAGTGCCTGTATAGTATCTTCACTTGCTAAATGAACTGAAGCCATGCAAGGACAGTTAATGTTATAGCTGCCTAACAGGTGCAGAGAGAAAAGTGTCTGGCCAAGGGGCTAGAGGGAGGGCCCTTGAACTAAGTCTGATTCCAAAGACTGCATCTGTCTTCCTAATCCGTTTCCTAATTCTGTAGAAAACAGACATTGAAAATCCTTTAAGCCACATACCTAGAAGGTTTGCTCATGAGTTTGTAGGATGCTCGTGGAAGCAGCCCAGCAAAGGTTGGAGGAACTCTCTAGAGTTAGAGTTTCTGTATATTTAGATCTTTTTGGACATGGAGCTCAACTGTCTGTATTTATAAAAGATGGAAGTTTCTACCTGAAAGAAGATACCCTGATATACAACCAGAAACTTCCAGTATATTCCTTACCACTTATCCCATCTCACCCCTCTAGAGTGAGATGCCAGCTTGTGGGGGAGGGGAGCCCTCCTTTTACAGTATACCTGCAACAAATGCAGGGTGATTCAAAAAGAATGGCATGCTGTTGAAAATGTATTCCACTCTGTATATTTTACTCCAGTAAAGGTACACCGTGCAACTTTTTTGTCAAGAACTTTGTGTTTGTACATCTGTTCTGGCAGCCCTGAAAGATAAGAAGTTATACACCCTGACTGCCACTTCAACCATTGATAGTAATAAATTACAGCAGGTTTAGGATGAATTATGACACAAGGAGTACATAGTAAGCACTTGTAAGATTATACAAATAGCTATGATAATTCTATTATAAAGGGATTTTGATTACCTTTTCAGATATTTTTGAAAGTGTTTCATTCTTTCTGAATCATTCTAAATATATTCTGCTGTATGTGAGGAACTGCTAGATTCTTTCATGCCCTCTCCTCCCTTCCCTGAATACTCTCTAACTGCAGTTTGGGGCTAAAAGACTTGCTTGGGTGCCTGCTGATTCTTGCAGTCAGTTTCCCCACTCCACGTTGTCATCATCATTCACAAACATTCCTTAGCCTGCTACTTGCTATGGAAACAGTAAACACATGTACGGAACTATAAAAAAAAAATCTCAACAAGCCTGGCCCCAGCTATCCCCGGGCCTTATGGTCTAGTTAAGATAATAAGTGTCATCAGGAAGCAATCAAAGTCATGAGAATAAGATGCCAAATAGATTGGATGGACATTAAAAGTACTCTTGGCTTACAAAGGAGAGGGAGCTTGGTGAGGGTAGTTATGGTAAGGGGACTTGAAAGACAAGCCTGAACTCACTGGAACTTGATGAAAAGATGGGATTTAAGTGGGCAGGTAATATAGGAAGGGGTTCTGGGGCACTCTGGGCAGAAAGGAGAGTTTAAGCAAGGCATAGAGGGTGTGGATGGTTGTGTAGACAACAAGGCAGCAGTGGAGGAGAAAAGGCCAGGCTATACCCTGAAGAGAAGGGAAGAGGCGGATTGTGGACAATTTTAATGTCAGCCTAGGGGAAGATAGCTTCAGTTTTAGCAAGTGGTGTCATGAAGCTTTCAGAAATTCTCAGTTATTAATATAATTAAAATGACGTAGCACTTTGGGGACCAAAAAAGAGGTTGAACTGAACTTATTAGGGGTGGCTCTTTTGCCCCCAAATATAGAGTGATCATTGTATTAATGGACCTAAAGCTTTTGGTGATGGCCCGCATCTCCTCTCAATCTCCCGATGGGGAAATCACCCTCCAACTGAGGATTTCTATTGTTGAGAAAAAATAAATGGACACATTTTTCCTTTTTTCTCTTAGTCCAAAACTAATCAGGGTTTACCAGGATCCAACAGTGAATCGTTGCTCAAGTAGGCATTCCTGTGGGGGCAGACAGGTCGTAGCATGGGCGGCAGGGGCAGAGGGCTCAGTACAAATGAATCTGGCCATTGTGAAGGGGTGTTATCACCACTATGTGAGCCTCCTTCTGGGACCCTTCATCCATAACACTTTACATGTTTGACATCGGGTTTAGATATGCATGCTCTCTGTACACAAATAGTCATTGAGACTTATTTCCCCAGCTTCTCAGGAACTTAGAACGAAAGGGGGATAATCCCATCCTCTTGGACTGAACAGCTAGATTGGAGAGGAGAGAGCAGTTATAATCTCGTTGTGTTTTGGTGCTATATTAGAATTTCTGGGCTTTTTTTCCCCTAGCACCAGCAGGTGAATCGTCGTCTTTGCTAGCTTTCAACTCGAATCCGTGCCCTGCTTTCAGTAACAAAACTGCCATCTACCCTGGCAAAACTAGGGGTAGGAGGCAAGGGGGAGGTGTAGCGGGCAATTGCTGGGGGATGCTGGGCTGCCCTGGCTGACTCCTTTGGCTTTGCCTTTGACTGAATTTCCAAGGATTGAGTGGTGAAGAACAGTGAGTGTTAGAATCAGAGGATATATGAATTTGTCCTAGTTAACAATAATATCAACAGAATTTTTCATTAAAAAAAGACAGTTCATAAATCTACACACCTTTGTGCACATATTCCACCTTGTTTTATCCACTAAAGTTAATGTAGCTTCTTATGTGAACGTTTGCTAATGTCTCGCCACAGATTAGGTCGTATGACCCACAGAAAATGTAGATGTGATAAGATTTTCAAACCTATGCTAGGTGGCCTAGTAAGATAGATATCAGGTATCAAAGCTAAAGGGAAAGATGTAACTGAAATGAAATGAAAAACTAATGTTAGCAGTAACAGTAAAGTGAATCACTTTCCATGTAGCCAGCTAACTTAAACAGACACTGCCTGTTTTATTAATTTTATCCCATCATCCAAATAATTTCCTGAGTATATATTGTACACAAAAGCTAGGAATCCTCTCAGAAAAACATGGTCTGCCACTTCAAAGAATTTACTATCTATTTGAGAGACACAGCAAACAGATAAAAAGCTGAAGATGACTGGTTAAATAATTTCTTAAACTATTTAGAGATATATATAACAACTGAGTTCATAAGCCCCTATACAAACCAGGTGAGTGATGCCAGTTTGGGATTTTCAATTGAGTTCCAGAAGACATGAAGGATGAAAATTGACGATAAAGAGAAGGGGTGGCTATTTAAGGTTGATTTTCCAGGAGGCAGACACTGAGGTGGAGTTAGGGGTGCCAACAGTTTCTTGGGGAGCAACATCTGTGAAAGGAAAAGGAAGGCAGAAGGATTGGGCAGGGTCACCATCCGACCAGGGTGCAAACCTGACAGAGTCTCTGTCCGCCCCATGGGGCGCTCCTGAGCAGTCTTATGTTGGGTGCAAACAGCTCTTTCTTAAAGGGTGTCTGAAAGTGCATCTCCACCTCTGCCACGAAGGCATTCTAGTTGACAGAGAAGGACATGGACACAGACACAAAGCAAGTTGTGTATAGGAGACAGCAGGTAGATGAACTTAACCCTGTGTAAAGGTGACTTCACCGTCTCATTAGGTATTCTGAAGGTGTGTGACATTAGAATGTATTTCTGTGTTGTAAGCCATACAATGGTTGCCTAGAATTATTCTATTAAATGAGGCATAACAGTTTTTATGTGCTGGAAAAGACTGCATTACTTGGGCTCCCTTGTCCATTTTAAGATTGTGGTTTTTTATTTTATTATTGATTTGCTTTCATTGTCCCTGTGAGGCTCTGGAGAAGAATCAGCAGTGGCTTGTGTATGATCAGCAGCGAGAGGTCTATGTACAAGGACTTTTAGCAAAGATCTTGGAGTTGGAACAGAAATTGGAAACAGCTGCTCATTCACTCCCACAGCAGATAAAAAAGACTGAATCAGAAGGTACTGCTATAAAAATGTTCTTTTGGGTTAGGCCTGCCTGACATTTTCTAAAAGAAGAGATCCATCAAATTTAGATTTTTATAGATATGTTAGGAAATAAAATAAGCAAGTCTTCTAGCCTGGAAGTAAGAAATACCATTTTAGCAAGTCTGTTTTATTTCCCATTGTTTTCTGATAAAAGAGTACATAAGGCACAGGGTAAAGGGACTTCTGGCAGCTCTGAAGGCACTTTAAATTTTCCCCGCCGTGCATGTCCTTCCTCTCCTTCAAAGTTCTTCACCAACTTTATTCCCCCAGAGCTGACCTTGTCACTGATTATCTCTTTATTCTGCTTCCCTTCAGCACTTATTCATATCAATCCCAGGAGAAAGAATACTTTTTCTAGACGATTCTTCAATCATTTGACTCTCACCGTAGAAGAGATGTAGTTTCTCATGAATGATGCTATCTTTTTGCCGTGTGCTTTGCAGCTTCCCTGACATTGATCTCAACTGAGTTTCACAGGAACCCCAAGAGGTGGGGCAGAAAGGGTCGTTATTTTCCTTTTATAGATGGCAAGTGGGTCAGCAGTTCCAGGCGCTGAGCTACGAAAAGAGAACCCCGCCCCCAAAACACTCATGTAAATGACTGACAGCCCTAATGGGACTGAAGCCTGCAATTATATAAAGAGAAGGATAAGAAAGGCGAGCAAGGCTCAGAGTCTTGGAGCTTCACCTGTAAATATTTAAAATGAAGCTAATGCTAAAAAGAAAATGTAAAAGGAATGTCTCTAGAGGTAATTCAAAGCTGTTTATCCCTAAGGGGACAAAGTTACCACTATAATGCCTTTATAAGATTACTATATATAGAAGTAGGATTTTAGTTATGGGCTAAGTCTAATTTTCTTTTTTTTGGTGCTATAGTTCTGTGTGTGTTTGTGTATGTTTTATCAAAGTAATATAAGCGCTTGTTAAAATAATTTAATGATAATATAGAAGGGCTCTGCCCCACCTGTCCCACCTTTCCCATTGCTGTTTTTAATTTGGTAATTATCACCTTATCTATAAATAATGAGCTTATATCCCTATTTGTTGATTTATCTTCTTTAGACCTTAGTGACTTTCCCTCCCCACAGAATAGTTTTATTCTTCTAGTTTTTAGTTCTTCTAGTTATTAGTTTTATAATTTCAAATAATGTACCTGAACCTCTGTTTCTTGTTCCGTCAAATATTAACCCTATCTCTTGACTCTTCATTTCGTAAGGTGAGGAAATAAGGTGATCTTGTTTATAGAAAAATGTTTATGTTTATCTTTTCAGGAATAATGTCTATTTTATAAAATGAGTTGTACCCTGATGTGTTTGTCATAGGTTGTCTTCAAGAAGAAATGCAAAAATATTATAACCAGCTCTTGGCAAATGCAAAAAAAGATCTTGAGGTTGAACGACAAACCATAACTCAGTTGAGTTTTGAACTTAGTGAATTTCGAAGAAAATATGAAGAAACCCAAAAAGAAGTCCAAGATTTAAATCAATTGTTATGCTCACAAAGAAAGGCAGATGTACAACATCTGGAAGATGATAGGCATAAAACAGAGAAAATCCAAAGGCTCAAGGAAGAGAATGATATTGCTAGGGAAAAGCTTGAAGAAGAGAAGAAAAGATCTGAAGAGCTCTTATCTCAGGTGAGCCTACCCAATAAGGTTTTCCTTGATGCATAATTCAAAATTTTCATTATACTTACTATGTGTCAGAGGCTATTTTAACCACTAGGAACCAGCAAGGAACAAAACAAGTTCCTGCCCCCTCCTGGGAGTTCATATTTAGATTGGAAACAGACCCTCAACAAGTACCTAAATAAACAAGTAAACTAAAGAAAATAAAGCAGGGTAATTTGACAAGGAGAAGTTGGGGGCCAGTGGAGGCCTCACTGGGGAGATGGTATTTGGACAAAGAGCTGATGACAAGAAGGAACCAGGGAAGTGAGTGACTGTGGGAATTTCCTCCTGCCAGAGGAAATCAACATACACAAGTCTCTGAATGAGGAGGAGGTAGGTATGTGTGAGAACTCAAAAGATGTGAAGTCAAGAGGGGACTCAAGGTTGATTCCTAGCCTGGTGCCTTGATCGTGCTGTTGCTGTGCTTTCAAGTTAATTCATGTGATCCCTTCCATGTTCTCATCATACTCACAGCTTTATGCCGGGAGGTCTGTCTCAGTAATGTTAGTTACTAAGTTAGGATTATTAGAATTGAATACTACTTCAACAGAAACTCATTATTTTAACTTTTGCTTGGCAGCATGGAATAATGGAAAAAACATCATTTGGGTTCCATGCCTGTTCTCTAGTTCAGGATGTGTGGCCGTAGGAAAATCAGCTAACTTAGCTAACTTCCTTGACTTGCAGGTTATTCATGTATCTATTAATAATAACCTCTTCTTGCCTCTTAGGGCTTTTGTGAAGGTCAACTGAGAATGTAAAAGTGCTTTGTAGGGGGGCCGGCCCCGTGGCTTGGCGGTTAAGTGCACACGCTCCGCTATTGGTGGCCTGGGTTCGGATCCTGGGTGCGCACCGACACACCCCTTGTCCGGCCATGCTGAAGCGGCGTCCCACATACAGCAACTAGAAGGATGTGCAACTATGACATACAACTGTCTACTGTGGCTTTGGGGAGAAAAAGGGAAAAAAAGGAGGAGGATTGGCAATGGATGTAAGCTTAGGGCCAGTCTTCCTCAGCAAAAAGAGGAGGATTGGCATGGATGTTAGCTCAGGGCTGATCTTCCTCACACACACACACAAAAAAGTGCTTTGTAAACTAAAGGGCTAGGTAAATGTTAGTTATTGCTACCATTAGAATAGGAATTTTGAAAATCCTCCAAAAGTTGAGAGAGGGGAAAAAATAGTCTGTAACATTTGCCTTCTTAGTCTTTACCACCCTCACTTCTCCCTACAGGTGTGAGCGGTGATATTTACAAAAGATTAAGCAGAAATGATTGAGGATTTTGCTCCAACTCTGTGGCGGAGGAGGCAAGGCACCGCCAGCTTTGTTATCCTACTCAGAAATATTAGTAGCTGTCAGAACCTCCAGGAAAGTGGGTGTGTCCCCTGTAGAGTGCAGTGATGTTAATCAGCTTTCAGTCTGTGCCTCAGGGCACTCTCAGCCAGGCTGGTCCTTCTCAGCTGCTTGCATAGATAGCCATCAAACAGCCAGCTGGAATGACTCACCCGACTTGCAGGTGGCATCCCTGTTAGTGAAGTGAGACTTGTGAGCCTTTCATACACCCCGGGTCAAGCGATAAGAGCTCAGATATGACAGTGTCGGCTCTATTTACTTCCTTCAGGTCCGGTTTCTTTACACGTCTCTGTTAAAGCAGCAAGAAGAACAAACAAGGGTAGCTCTGTTGGAACAACAGGTACTCATTGGGATTGCTTCTACACTCAACTTAGCCTATTAGAAAATGGAATTTTTTCCTGATGTTCACACTATTCTGTGCACCATTTGAAAGTTGCGAAAAATCGTTTTAAAAAACTGACAAAAAATATTTAAAGTGACTCTCTGTGCTAGCCATATATTCCTTTTACTGCCTGGAGGCTAAACCAGATTCTCTGAGGTGAAATGGCAATTTTCTTGACAGGTAGATGTTTGCCTTGGCAAAGTTTATTCTTCCCCAGATGGCTTCTGTAGCTCCTACTCTAGCCTAACAGGGTCTCCCTAATAGGGCTACCTTATAACTTCCAGTGGAACTCAGAGATACCATTTATTCTCAGAATATAGACCTAAGATTTTCTACGTATTCCAAACCAGGGAACAGCCATCTCTTTCCCCTCTCCCCTTTCCCCACAAAAAGGGAGATGGAGAGGACAGATTCTAACCAGCAACTTGTTAAGCTGCTCCTCACTCACCTATACCTCAAGCGTTAGTTTTGCTTCTTGGATAAACCAAATCCTCAACATAAGCTTCTTCATTTATCAACATCTCACTGTGCTCAGATGAATTCTTGCTCAGATGATACAACAAATATTTGCTGCTTGTGCTAATAAAAAAATGCAAGCATCCAGTCAAGAGAACGAGACAGAGTATACTAGCTATACTTGTCTTGTCCTGGGCATTTTTTCCAGATGCAGGCGTGTACTTTAGACTTCGAAAATGAAAAACTTGACCGTCAGAATATGCAGCATCAGTTGTATGTCATTCTTAAGGAGCTCCGAAAAGCAAGAAATCAAATAACACAGTTGGAATCCTTGGTGAGTCTGGAATGGTTAAACTAAAACTTGTTTTCTTCTTTCTCTTTCTGCCATCTTTCCATTTATATATCAAACCAGTTCCCAAACTAGGAGGATGCAGCTTAAAGAATGTCTGTTGATTCTCAAATCAATAGGCAGAGCCTCTGCCTCATTTGAAGCAACTGCCTTATGAGCATCAATTCAGAGCACTAGCAAGAGGGCCATTGTGTATGTCTTGGTGAGGATTACACTACCAGTGCCTGGGGTCATTTCCCCACCCACCCTGGGGCGCTGTGATTCTAGAGGCAAGGGAGAGAGGGCGGGGGTAAGGGAGGAGAATCGTAAATACTGAACTGAAATTATGTTTTTCTATTTAAAAAGAAAGGAAGGAAGAAATGCTTTTTTAAAGGATAATGGACTATTACTGTTAATACACTGTTTTAGGCATATTGAGTTAAAGCACATTTTGTGGGTTACTCTGAACACATAATCGTTTAAAACAAACCTTTTGAATAACATAGTTCCTGTGAGGAAATGGTTTTTGACTTGCCTGTTTTCATCTTATTAATAAGCTTTTGGACCAAACCTGTTGGGTTCTGTGTTTGTGTGTGTATGTCCCATAAGCACATATTTTACATATCATCCTAGTACTGCACAGTATTTGTAGATGGTGAAATGTTACAAATAGAATTCCTCAGTTTTCAAAAGAGAAAAAGCAGTTGTTAAAAAAAATTATTTGTAACTTCTTCATGAGTAAAAGACAGAAAATATATTTTTGTCTCTATTCTTTAGTATGTCATTGATTTTGACCATTTATAGTATTTGAAATTGAAATTTATAATTTATTTCTGTTAATTACTGTCTTTCAAAATATGGAAAGCCAGAGGCTATACAAAAGAATCCATAATTTTCCTGTACTTTTCTTTGTGTTTCTATTGTCCATCACCTTCATAGTATGCTGTAAAATACTCATTTTTAAGCTTTACTGACTATTCTAAGTTCCTCAGGAAAAAAACATGAAAAAGGAAAGTCACAAAGGTGTTATACAATATCTTAGTCATTTCTGTGTGTAACCTGTTTGATCTGGTAAAATTCTTTGCTGCTCTTAATTCTATGTAGTTCTTTATTGAAGTTGACCCTCTTTTACAAAACTAGCAAATTTTGTCAGACTTGCACACAGGCCTGCCTTAACGTTTGGCTCTAAGCATTTTAATAAAACCTGTCCATATAAACACCCAACCCTAGTACTTCCTGGGTAATTTGGGTAATTTATAACCACCTCATATGTTACCACTGTAATACTGATGGGCAGAGATTCAAAAGAAAATATGTCTGCAGGGCTGAAGCAGCTGGAGCATCTAGGAGCAGTTACGGCTGTTGAACAGGAGGCCGTATATACAAACGATCTTCATTTGACATTTATTTTTCAGAAGCAGCTTCGTGAGCTTGCCTTCACAGAGCCATTAATCCCTCTCCAAGGAGAGGCTGAAAACAGAGTGAAAGCTGCGTCACCCAAAAGTCCCACTGCTGCACTAAATGAAAGCCTGGTGGAATGTCCCAAGTGCAACATGCAGTATCCGGCCACCGAACATCGGGATCTACTTGTCCATGTTGAGTACTGTTCAAAGTAGCGGTATAAGTATTCTTTGTTTTTGTGCCAAAAGATTCAACGCTGTATCTTATGTTAGCTTATGGACATTTTGAATTACTTATTTCACCTCTTATTTAAGACACCTTCTATCTACCTTTGAGACTCTGGCATAGAAGTGAATCATTGTATTTTTTTGCTACTTCGCATTTTCCTTGGCAGCAATACCTCCCTAAGATGGTTCATCTTCAGGCCTCGGTGGCAGAATGTGGTGAGCAGTGAATGCTGAGACGGCTAACATTCTGCACTGTTAACGTACTTGATGGAGAAAGGATAGTTCAGGTTATTGCTCATGGGTTAAATCTTTTACACTGGCAAGCAAATATTTTATGTTTTGTGGGTTGTTAGAAATCAAAGGTAATTAACCAAGGATCTTACTGTGTTAGCATGTTTTATCCAAGCACTTGGCATACCTACAATATACCTACAGTTGAGTCCATTGTTAAAAGATGGTGATAACTTTTTCTCTTTTTTCTTGCTATTATAGAATGGTTATTAGAAAACTTGGGAATTTTCTTGATCTTTATTGCTGCTTACTATTGAAATTGTAAACCTCGCTGTGTTCTAAGCACAAAGCAGATTCTACTTAAGGAGTACTCCTAAGTAACCACACACAATGTTTTCTGTCATATTAACTGGCTGTAACTTTAACTTGAATTTCATTAGCACATGTTGGTTGCTAAAATTCTTAAAAGGAATTTTAACAAAACCATCCAGCCCACTCATTTGATTTCCAGATATTTTATTTATTTATTTTTGGCACTCAAAGCTGGGCAATGTAATAAGCAGATATTTGCTTATCTGAATATATGTTTTTATACAAACATGTGTAAACCCCAAATTTTTTTATTTCTTCAGGTTTTCTCAAATACTTAACACTGGGCTACTGTTAGTAATATAAAGGAGAAAAGAATAAAATTATTTTAAGTTTTAATATGTCTAGTGTATATGTGTATAGATAAGTATTATAAGATTTCTGTCCTGATAGGAGTGCCAGAGAGTTCAGAAAGGTTAAGCAAAATCCCCACAATCATACAAACAAAAAAAGACATTCTTGGATTTCAAACTCCAAGTCAACTCCAAAGCCCATCTTCTCTCCACCATGCCAGAAGAAAACCTTTATGAATTCTCCAAACTCGATATTCTTAAGTGGTAACAACTGCAGTAATGGGATTTTCCTTGAGTTAGAAAAATGGCAGGACACACCAGCTGGTCTATTCTATCCCTCTGGTCTGAGAAGTCCTGCCTTGTCCTACCTTTCCAACCTGTTCCAGATTTTTTTTTTTTTCCTGAGGAAGATTAGCCCTGAGCTAACATCCATGCCAGTCTTCCTCTACTTTATATGTGGGTCACTGCCACAGTGTCACTGACGAGTGGTGTAGGTCCATGCCCGGGATCTGAACCCACAAACCCAGGCCACCAAAGCGGAATGCGCTGAACTTAACCACTATGCCATGGGGCCAGCCCCATGTTCCAGTTTCCAATGTCTTTAATTTCATTCTACAAATGTTATTAAATGCCAACTATGTGCAAGGCTCTGGGCTAGGCATTAGTGACACAGTGATAATAAAATGCAGCCCCATCTTCACAATCTAGTAGAAGACCAACATCTAAACAGGTAAGTGTAATACCTGGTAGGAAGTGCTATAATCAAGGTATATGTATGGTAGAGGAGTTTGAACCCTGCCTTCTAATAAAGATTGAAGTGTGACTTTTCAAAGACACAAATCTTATACTAAGGTAAAATAAGTAAAAAAGAAGTAGAAAAAAGCAGTAGTAAAACAAGACTAAGAAGTAAAATGGAGCCACTCATAAGGGTAGACCGCAGGGCAGGCCATGGAGTGCTTCTGAGAGGTGAGCCCTGAGTTTGGTGCTGAGCGCAGAAGAACAATCCTGTACACCATTCACATGATTTAAAAATGCTGCTGATCTTCAAGAGAAACACCACTATAGCAATCTTGGTACTGAGACTATGAGGAGATTTCTCCAGTGTGCCGTCATCAAGAAGAAACCAGGTGATGTAGAGGTTCATAGTCTCAACAACAACCTTGCCATAAACACAACAGTGAGTTCCACTCTGCTGATTTCTTAACAATGTTCTTACGGTGGGGGAAAAAATGTCGTGTCCAGAGGCGATTTCATAATCCTCAAGGGCAGGCGATGCCACGCTCTCCCAACGCGTAGCTCTCTGCTGCTCTGGCTTTATCCCAGAGCACATCTTAGACTCGGAGCCAACTCTAAAGCCCCCTCTGACGGGCGAGGTGGTGGCGTGAATGAGGCAGCTGGCCAGCTGGACTGTGGAGGCTGGGAAATGGTGCCTTCCCCAAAGGCGGCGCAGCTGCACAGCTCCAGCCAATGTCCTCTGCCCATGTGAGTCCCGTGCGGCTGATCTTTCAGATTTTCCGAGACAAATCTGGAACTTTTAAATGTGCAGTCTTCCAATTTTTAAATGTTGGGAAGTTAAAAAAAAAATTAACACTGTGTGGGCCAAACATATTTCCAGTCTGTAACCTTTGTTTAGAGCATCTGAATGGGGCAAAAGAAGCAGAGGCTAGCTCAGCCTGAGATGGGCAGGAAGCTAAGGCGGGCGCTCTGTCCTGCCCGCTGTCTCGGGGCTGAGGTCTCCTCGAGTCCAGTTCAATCCAACAGGCACTGTCTGAGGGACACTGAGTACAGCCCTCCCTGGCCACTCTCTTCCACCTGCCATCTGGCTGGCTTTCGTGGCTACACTTCCCTGAACAGAACCGGCTGGCTGCCAGAATTTCCTGGCTACCCTCTGTTCCCCAAACCTGACAACTGAGGGAATATCAGGGCTGGAGGGAACTGTGAGATCATCTACCCCAGCATTTTTGGTCCAGGAAATCACCTCACCCTTGGAGCATGTTGAAAATGTTGATTCCTTGGCCTCCCCCAGCTCTCCTAAATCAGATTGTCTGGGGGTGGGGAGCATGGAATATACATTATTAACAAGCTCTCCAGGGCATTCTGGTGTTTTCCCGAAGATTGAGAATGGCTCATCTAGTCCAACCTTGACTTCCTGATGAAAGAGAGTCCCAGAGAGGGGAGTGACTTATCCAAGGTCACATAGCAGGTTTGCAGGAGAGCGAGGGAGGCCCAGGTTCCCAAAGGCAGTGGTTGTGAGAGCACCTACCGTTTTCATTCATGTGCCATGATTCCACCAAATTACTCTTTCCAACACCCCCAATGCTCTGTCTTCCTACCAAATCCAGTGGTAGGACTTGGTTCTCTTTATTTTCCCTTGTCCTCTGTGCTGTGCTCTCTGCTTTGAATCTAACGATATTTTGGCTTTGGGTGGTCGAGTGGGAAATGCTAGCAAGACATCTCAGTTGCCAATCTAGTGGTGACACTCAAACAAGGGTGAAAGGTCAGGACCAAGCTAGGGATTTGCATAGAATCTGGAGAGACGATGAAGAAAGGAACAAAGAAGACTGAGCCCTGGGGAGCATCCTGTGGTTCAGAAGTAGATAAGAGCACTCAGAGAGAATCAAATTAATGTTGTGTCTCCCAAACCAAGCAATCAAAGAAGGAATGGCATGCACCCAAGAGAACAAGTTAGCATCTGATAATAACCTTCATATTCTTGCCTGCCAGGCTCACTATATTGATTTAACCCCAGGATCAGCATATCTTCCGTACAGTGTTTTAAGTCTCCCGAATAAATCTTACCCATTTGAGAGGATGTATCAGGCACTGATCTCATTACTTGACTGTGAAATATTTAGCCTGTGTGCAACAGGCAAGGTGCCATGCCAGGCACTAGAGTTGGAGAGAAGAGGAATAGCAGAGCCAAGACAAGGCAGACATCAACGCAGATCAATGACAGCACAGTGAGGTGAGCGCCCCACTAGACGTCACCCCACGGTTGAGAGAGGAGAGGCTTCCCAAAGGACACAATGACTGAGCTAGGTTTAAGGAAACAAGTAATATTCAAGTTTTAATAATGTTTGTTCCTGAACTTATGTTGAATGTGAATCATTACGCAGAGCTTAAAGAAAAACATGGCCTGTGTTATAGTGATGACAAAGGATGAGTGTGTGGGGGAAGGGCAGTATCGTGGGTCCAGATTCTGAGACAGTGAAAGGTGTTCCTTCTTATCCTATTAACTTGATGTTGACACTCACGTAGCCACAAAGAGACAGAAAGCAGACTATTTTGAATGCTGAAATATCGGAGGAGATAATACATAAGCTAAAGGTTTTAACGAAGAATAAAAAGACTTAGAAAAAAGTCAGCTTTGCTGTTTTTTACAGATATTGCAGAATGACACCTATGAGACCTTGCAGAGATTATAAAGGTGTGCATTTTCACTTGATTTTTATAAGGTGGAGGTAAATGGAGGGGAAAACCTGATGCTAGAGGATTAAGAGAAAACCTCCAGCATATATTATTTTCAGTATCAATTTAACAATCTCTCACATTCACACATATGCTACAGTAATAATTCCCTTCTCCTCAAGGAGTGAACTTTATGAAAATGATTCTGTTTATTGGAGATCAAAAAGGAAGCATCTCAAAATTCAAATTTTATTTTGTTTTACTTCTTTGGCAATTTCAGCGAAGTGTGTTACTGAGGAAAGAGCCCTCAGAAATGGAAACCACCAGACCTGAGATGAAAATCTGGTTCAGATTTTGAGCAAGTCAACCTCCCTAAGTCTCAGCTTCATACACCATAGGAATGTTAATGCCTGCCCCAGCTATCTTCCTAGGATGTCATGAAAATCAAAGTCCAATTTATTTTAGGGAATCCTGTGCATTAAGCCTTTTTTAGTGTCCCAGACAACATGCTAAAAACTGCATTTGTGTCATGTCATTTTATCCTCACACTAACACTATACGGGAGTTTCTATAGTTGTTCCATTATACAGATGAGGAAGCTACGGTTTAGAGAGCTCATGTCACTCGTCCAAGGTCACACAGCAAAGAGAGTGCCAGAGCCAGTATTTGAACCCGAGTGTGCCTGCCTCTAGGGCCTGAGCTGTTAGCTCCTACATTATACTGCCACTCTTCTATCACCTTAAAGCCAGAGAATGTACGTGAAAGCACATTGCAGATGGGGAAATACTGTCCAGGATTATTTTTATTTTTCAGCAATGATTATAGTGTGGATGGGGATGAAGAGAAGACAAGAGATAACAGTGACATTACCTACCCCCAAGAACCTCCATTCATTTTACTTATCCATTATAACCACACTCCTCATCCTCATTTGTCCATGCAGGTGTATTCAGATGCAAATAACAGAAAAGGCTGACACCATTGGGACATTCGTTGTTTGTTAAAAAAGAAGTCTGGAGTCAGACAATCGCAGTTTAGATCAGCAGTTTCAGAATTTTAAGGCTCTGGACTGTCATTTCTGTTATTCTCTTGGTACTTACTCATGCTCACATAATGGCTGCTGCAGTTCCAAACATTGTAAGCTAATGAGACTTTTTTCCAGAACCAAGAAGCAGACAGCTAACTAGGGTAATGAAAGAGCACTCCTTATATGTCTCTTTCCTTTTATCCAATAAAAGGAAATTTATTGGAAATGGAAATATCCATTCAGAAACTCCACAGCACACTTCCCTTACACCTCATTGACTAGAACTGGATGACACAGTGTATTAGGACAGGCTAGGCCAGGCTCTGTTAACAAGTAAGCCCTGAAATCTCAGTGGCTTAACACAACATAGGTTTATTTCTTGCCCGCCTCACAGTTTTTGTGGGCTGGTGGCCCTCCTTTATGTTGTAGCTACACCACCTGGAAGGGGAAGCCTCCAAAGTCATTGCAGCAGGGCAAGAGAGTTCTGAAGCCAACTACTAACTGCGCCAGACAGGAAGTGACGCACTCTGCTGACATTCCTATTGGTCAGAACTTGGTCCCACTGCCCCACCCCCTGCAAGGTGGCTGGGTGGGACAATTAGCCCAGC